TTTAAAGCTAGCCCCCACTGCCACATCACTCTCCGGTTTGCCACGCCGAGTACCTCCTGCTCATTTATTTGGGGGTGGGGGGGTGGGGACAAGACCCATGTAAACCCTCCATTAAATTAGTAGCAGCCCCCGCAGGAGCCCTTGGCGGGTCCATATCCCATTGGGTGGTTGGTGTTGAAAGCAGCTAAAACATCACGTTGCGTTTAAGTTAACCTCCCTACGTGTAAGTATTATTTGTGTGTACATAAAATCAGTATTAAACCCTTTGAAGTTGTTTGTTTCTTTTTGGTCCATGTTAACTGCACCCCAGGTTCTCCAACTAGCTTTATCTCACCACTCGCCTCCAGCCGTTGAAGCTGCCTGCTGCGTTTTCAGCCCAGCCCCTTGATTTTGTCCAGCGAGAAGGAATGAAGCGTTTGGCAGCTTCTGCAAATGCATAGAAAGGAGAAAACGCTTATGCTCTCATCCTGCTCCCCCCCCAGTTCCAAATAGCTAGATGTCCGTCTTCAAAGAGCTGTTCTCTCAAAACAACTGTGAGCCCCCCCTTCTTCCTATGATGCAAGCCTGCTTCTCAATCCTTTTTCAGTACAGATGTTCCCTGTGAGACCATTTCTGGACACACACACACCCCCCCCATTAAATTACAAAGCCAGTCTCTGTCCTCTCGCCCCTGCAGGCACCGTCCCCAATGTTTTAGAATGATTACCTATAGAGCAGTGCCTTAGGTTTAACTAACAAATATTATTTTTATACAATAGCTCTTTGATTCTGGCAGAGACAATCGTTCTAACACGCATGCAATGACGCTCCTATTTTTCTGTGCAAACTGAGGCCCGTTGAATGCTTTGTTAGTTGTATGTAAATACATATGCACTGTTAATAAACTTTGCAGTTGAAAGGTCTCTGGTTGTGAGTGGTTATTAAGGGATTCCCAAAAATGTACTTGCTTGCCTTTTTTTTTTTTTTTTTAATGGAACTATTATGGCTGTTTTCTGAGAGAGACAAAATCAGCCAGCCACCCAGCTTGCAGTGGGTAGAGACGCTGGCTTCAGCTGAGGATTCCCAGCCAACAGAAGCGACTGGGTGTCGCTCAGGGTTGAACTGTGGAGTCCTTGGGGTTCTCTGAGCTTGCTAGCACTGAAGATGTGTCCTAGCCGGGTAACGAAACGTGTGCGAGAAAACGACCGAGCTCAGAGAACCCCGAGGACTCCGCAATTCCCAGCCATCAGGACCTTCATGGAGACAGCCGACGGCCAGGCTAGTGCGGATGACTCAGTAAGAGGCATGGATGGGTGGATTGTATTGGGGGCGATACTCGTTGGCTCTTTAGTCCAGGTTTATAGACAGAATGAAAGGGGAAAATGAAGCATCGTTTTAAAATTCGAGGGCATCATGATGGGCTTTTGGTGGTCAGTCTCCTGGAACTGGGGGAGGAATGGCAAATATCTTGCACTCCTTGTGCACCACCCAGCCTCGGGTGATTCTTGGAATGCCACGGGAGTCTCGCGCGCTACAAGTCTATAAAGAAAACACCACACAGAATCCAAATAAGCAGCAACTTCCTGTTTATTGGAGGAAATGCCTTGGTACAATAACAAGAATTGCAATTATGTCACCCAAATATTTCAGCCTGCCCCTAGAGATCTTTCCCCTTGCTTTAGCACGCAGGCATCTTGTGCTGAGAGCGATACTCGAGCCGGAGGTGGCCAGTTTCGGCATGAGCCGTGGAACCTGGTGATCCGGCAACCTGCTTTCACATTCCAGCAGAGTTGAAGTATTAAGGTGGGTTGCTAAATATGGTTATTCTAAGGTCAGCGGTGGCCGTTCCTGGAGGTTAAACGCTGATTAAAATAAGCTACGTACTATGCGCTTGCTCTCATTCATGGTAGGCTAAGGAAACGTGTGACATCACCGTTACTTGTATGGATTAATATGAATGCAAACTGAAGAAAAGCGCCAAACCGTATCCTGAACTAGCAGATTTTAGGGTGGAGTCAGATGGCCACATTCATCTCTTTCTTCCTTTTTTGCCCCTTGCGAGAAGCTCCGTTGAGAATTGCCCACATAAGAGGAGTACCATTTGCATTCCCCAGCTGCCTCACATCTGGCAAATCCAATATTTAAGCATTTCCTACCTATTCTGGCATGAGGATGGAGAGTTGGGCGAGGGAAATGGAAATACCTGAAGCTATAAACAATGGCTGAGGGTTGTTTTTTTTAAAAAAAGTAGCAAATGTGTTTAAAAAATCATTTGGGACGAGCACCATCAAATAAAGGGTCCGTGGACCACAATGCCACAGCTGTAAGAACCAAAAGCTAGGTGAGCGGGTGACAGGTCTGTTCCACAGGTGCAGCATTCTCCAGGCTGTGGACCAGGAATGTTTTCAATCGACATTCGAGAGAGGTGCCTTTCTGAAAAGAATAGCAGTTGGGTACTTGCCACCAGGGCGCTGTGGCGGGCGAAGTGTCGGGCCCGTCGAGGAGAACAAATGGGCACCTCTTTAAAAACAAAATCCGCTGAAAATCTGGTTTTCTCCAGCCACCGGAGCCTTGAAATCCGGCCTCCGCCTTCATTTCTGTGGCTTTGTAAACTGGATCTGCCCCACAAGGGGAGATCGGGAGATGTTCTTCAAAAGCAGCCATGTGAATTCACCCTTGCTGAGTTGCTAGCCCCCTAACCGGCAAATAGGGCCGGGCCTTGCAAAGCCAATAGTAACTCTATGTGGGACGCGCAAAGTAGCCCCCAGCTTCAGTGAGCATCTAAAGATGGCGAGAAAGCAGAGTTTGCGGCAGTGGTTAGTGAACCCTTTATTGAATGTGACCTGCAGAGGGAAAGGAGGGGAAAGTGCCTTAATGTTCTTTAGAAAAGCAAAGGGGGAGTTGGGATGGGGGGGGGCAAAATGCAGATGCCTACAACCAGGCCGCGTGCAAGCAGACAGCATCCAAGCCACTTTGCAGGAGAGAGCCGAGCTGTGTCTGCCGCCCTGCCCTTCCCCTCCCTTACAGCTTCTTGGCACAGTTGGGGCAGTAGACTTGCTCCAGGTGGAAGACAAAGGGCTTGTTAGCCAAGGGGATGGAGCACTTCTTGCAGTTGAAGCAGTATTCATGCCAGGAGTGGCCCTCGTGGCTCACCACGTTGGTGCCTCTTCCAAAGCCTGTTGATGAGGAAAAGACAGAGAGCATGGCACCGTCAGAGAGGAGGCCGCAGGAGAGACCCGGCTTCCGTGTGGCCCAAGGGCATGGTTAGTTGAATAAGCTCGCCCAGAGTGCAGTGCTATAAACCAATTCCCAAACGCACACTGGCTGGGCTCATCCAATCATACAAAGTAAAGTACGGGATGGCTTTGTGTAAAATGTGAGCCCTGCCAAGAAAAAAAAAAAACAGCTAGAAAAATGTCCCTTTCCAATGCATCTCTTGGAAGGTACTTGATCCAGTCTCATAAACCCAACTAGCAAGTCTTTAAATACTCAGTGGATGCCCAAAGGATCACCCCTGTACAACCCTCATCGGCACACAGAGCCTTGATGATCTAATTCTTGATGTACTAGGGGAAAGGTGATTAATGGAGAGCATGATAGAAATGTGTCATGCCTGGTGTGGCGCGTACATTCTTCCTCCCTTAAAAGCCACATTGGGGTTAAGGTCAATGTACTGCCAATGGATCTGATTGGGAATAAATGCACAGCAAATAAAAACGGGGCTTCTGAAGTCCACCCCCAGAGTTTGCCCATCTCTAAAGCTATCCAGAGGTTTACTCCCATGTGTGAATTAGCAGTAGGCCCCCTTAAGCAGGGACTTCTTTGCCTACCTGTAATGGGGTTCTTGCAACCATTGCATTTCTTAGCCACAAAAGACTTGTAGCAATCCACACAGTAGAACTGGTCCTCTACCGCAGTGAAGCGTTGTCCACCCAACTTCTTCGTGCAAGTGGTGCACACAAAGCACTCGGCATGGTAAGGTTGATCTTGGTAGGAGACACCTCCAGAAGTGATGGCCTAAAACCAAGCCAACCAGCAATCAGTGTAGAGTTCATGGCGTGGAGTAAATGTTAGCACTGAGCCCCGAGTGGCCTTTGGACATTCTCCATCAGATTTGCAGACTAATGGATGGAATCATTTCTCCAAAATTGTCCCAGGGAAAGGAGAAACTCTCCCAACAATTTCTACAGGTCAGGACTTCCCCAGAGTGGGGACAACTGAACAGTTCCATGGGAGAGGTTCCTCTGGGGCTGCATGGAAGCCAAATCTTTCTGGAAAGCCAAACACTGAACTCCAGACCACTGAAGGACTGCACCATGGAAGACAGGACATTCATGTTCCTTTCTTGGCCACCCTGACACTAAACAAATGCAAAACATCCAAACTCCAAAATGAGAGTTTAATCTAAACTCTGTTCCCCTCCGAATGAATTTCTAAAGCACATTCTCGTCCATCCAACTGAACAAGAACACTTTTTAAAGAATGCAACATTTTCATACCTAGACCATTTTCTACCCATCCGTTCACTATTTGCATATCAGTGGAAGATTTATTTCTCCTTTTCAGATCTGATGTTTAGGGGCAGTATATAATCCGGTTAGTAAGGGCCAGAAAGTCCCATCAATGACTGGTTTCCAATGAGCTATCAGAACTTAGCAAGATGCATCTTCTTCTGTCTGTGGAATAGGAATAATTACCAACCACCGTGCCTTAGTTTTAGCCTCATATTCTCTGATGTGCTATCACTGTGCAAGGCTAGAAAATGAAAGGAAGCAGGACATATAATTCCAAAATAATATGTTTTAATACAGTCTGTTCCTTCTGAATAACCAAGAGGCTGCTCAGCTTCATGTCCTCATGTCTATAGAATAATGCAAGCTAGAAACTGAGTGGAAGAAACCATTGAAAACAACAGAAGTACAGAGATGGTGCCCAAGACTTACGTTCTTACACTTCACACAGGTCTTTGCAAACTTATGCTCATGGCAGGAAACACAGTAGATCTCATCTCCTTTGGGAAAGAAACTGGCCGTGCCAATCACTTGTTTGCACTGGCTGCAAGTGAAGCAATCCTTGTGCCACACCATCTTCTTGTATTCCACATTCTGATCCCCTGTGAAGAGAAATGAGAGAAAGCAATGTCCCGGGAGGTCAAGACGCAAGATCTGCCATAGATAAGGCAGAGCTGCAGAAAAAAGCCCTGCCCTGGCCACCAGATGTCAATCAGATCAGTGTTGACCCCCCTGCAAAAGGTCTACACTCTCAGAAAAATCGTGGGCAGCTGTCCCCTTGGACTCTGCCCGTCCAGAATTTGGAGTGGGGTCGAGATGCTTGCCCGCTCTCTCCCACATCAAAAATTCTTTGACCTTAGAAAGCCCATGTGCCTGTCAAGGGGGTAGGGAAGAAACTCCCCCACACACCCAGACGCTGAGTTTCCAGAAGAAGGGAGATGTGGATAAGCACCAGAAGACATCATCCCACCTGCCATTAGCAGTTACAGCAGGGTTCCTCAACCTCAGCGACTTTAAGATGGGTGGACTTCAACTCCCAGAATTCCCCAG